AAAATGGTTATTTTCTCTTATATAATCCATTATTATCAGATATAACAAAAATTAATAGGGAATGAAAGTTAATAACCCAACTGACAAATAAAGGCTAATCTATGATAAGTGAAGACGAATTGAAGGATATATATATTTTTCACAAAAATTAGCAGAAGAGTAACATAGTACAAAAGAATCGGTTTGAGGGTTAATCTGCACTTTTCTCCGTATGAAAATTATATTTCTTCTGAAAAAAAAAAAGCATTATTTATGAAATCACCTTGGCCAAAAAAAGAAAAAGAAAAAGAAAAAGGAGAGAATGCAAGAACTTTGATAACTGCCATCCTTTTGTTTCATTTCGACTTACTTTCTAAATATAGAAGTTTGGTGTTTTGAGATTTAAATTGCAAAACACTCTCCATTGAATGGAAGGCTCTCCCCCCAATATCAAAGGACTCTTCTTAATTTAATAGTTAGCATTTTATAATCTAATATATTTTAAACTGTAATTTTTTTGCTAAATATAACAACTCATATATATGCATTAGGACTTATATAACGAATTACATCACCATTTGGCATGACACTGCAGTAGCCACTTTTATTATGTGAGAAAATCTCACGTTGATAAAAAAATTAAAAACATATGAGTTTAATATAAGAAAGGCTCCTTCAAAATTGTCGACAGTTTTACCCTAAACTTCGAATTCAATGTTCGAAGTTCGACATTTTTCTTATAGATGGATTACAAAATAATAATAATAATGCTATATATATATATATATTTTTTGGGTTGGCCAAAAGAGAAAATGCAGTAATAGTGAAAACAAGCACAGATTCTTAGCCAATTTCTTATAGAAATATGCGCACGGCTTGTTCACAGTTCACACGCGTTTATATAACACTTTTGTTTCGTCAAAATGGCGAGGCTACAGCACTAGGAGGGGATAGGATTATCTTCCACGAATTTCTTCCCAAAATGATAAACAAACAAGCATTGAAATGGACCATTTTTTTAGGAAAGCATCTTAGGAGATAAGTTGCTCAATTTTAGAAAAGCATATCTTATACCTAGCTGTTTGGACGTGACAAGAAGATTAACTATTATCATCATTTATATATAAAAAAAATGAAAGATAATTTTTTCTCATTCTTTTTCCTTTGATCAGCAACCATTTCTTCTCTTTGACATTGATTTCTTTCAAAATTAATTTTTAGATTTTTTTGTACCACCGGTTTCAAAGTTTGTAATTGAATTCCATTCTTTTTAATTAATTAAACAAAATATAGGAAGTGTAGAATTGCAAATGAAGTTCATAAATTTATAATCAAGCCACATACTATGTATGGTGTGGAATTCAAATCATAAAATTAAGATAAAAATCTTTTAATCAAACCAATTATAATGATATGAAATTTATTTAAAACAAACACTATATATGTTAAATAAATTACACGCACTTGATCCTGTTTCAACATCTTTGCAACAAGGAAAACTTTTTCAGAAGTTGTGTCCAATAGAGGCTAAACATTTATATAGATTTCAATCCATCATAATTCGCATGGTATTGTAAAGTTCAAGTATATATTTGTGTAACGATATGTATACAAGAAATTTGATTCTTCAAGATTACAAGATACAAACAAGGAACAATAGGAGCAAACGGACACTACTAGAAAACACAACTTCACCAACCCACAATCACCAATGTAAGAATTTTTGTTGGTAAACTAGCATCTTATCGACAAGAAACATGTTTGCAAAGATAGAAACATTTAAAATAGGAGAAATTTATATTATTTAAGGTTCAGACAAAATCTTTGTCGGTAAATTGATACCATACACATGTGCTCCTTGTCAATAATATTCTGCAATATGCTTTCTAGTGGTGCGTAGACCAATACCCCAATTATCGATGAAAAGCACGCTTGTAAGCCATATTATCTGCAATATGATTTTTCTCGGTGAATTTGCTGACAAGAATCACGTTGGTAATTTCACAATCCTCAATCCACCCCGTGAACCTGGTTGCTAGCTTCTCCAATTTACCGACAAGATTCCTGTTGGTAAGCTATTATTGCCAACCAAAATTTTCTCGGTGATGATGCTGGTCAACTAGCATCCTGAAGCAATGCACAGATGATCAACTTCAAATGGTAGCAATGTGAATCTTGTCAATAAGGGTCACCTCCTACCTATCGGAGTCCCTTTCCCCTTTCATTTTCATCTTCCTCTTCTAGTAGCAAGTAGTTCTTGCTCTCCTTTCCTCCATTCTTTCCTTTGAATCACTTTAACACTTTTCTTCTTACAATGGGTGGATCAAGTAGTGGAAACTTATGTAATATTACTATTTTTTATATATTTTGATATTAAATATATATATTTTATGTATGTTTTATTTTTATTTTTTTGAAATTTAAACTATCAAATATTGTCATTAGTTCATTGTATATTAGTTAATATTGTTAGATTTTCTGTTTTAGCTAAATTTTATGGATAGTTATGAATAATTTTTTGATAATTTTCTAGTGAAATTTCAACAATTAATGGGAAAATTTTAGTAATAAGTATTTGATATTAGCATTCTCAGATTTGTTATTTTGAGTAAATTTTAGGTTAAATATGAATTTTGGTGCGTCGAAGGTTTTATGTAATTTTAATGCCTTACCGTTTCTGTGCATTTTTTATTTATTAACTATAAAAAATATATTTTTTTAGCTTTTTTGTCAATTAATCTGTTAAGTTTATCTTAATATATATATTTTTTGTCCCTTAACATAAAGTTCATGGACAAAAAATGTGCATATTTAGATAAATTTAATGAATTAACTAACAGAAAGACTAAAAAAATATATTTTTCATAGTTGAGGGATTAAACAAGTGTATAAAAACGTTGAGGGACAAAAATTATGTAAACTTTAAAGTTGAGGGACCTAATTTTTTTGGTTAAAGAACCATGTTAGTCCCTCAACTTTCTGATTTATGTCAACATTATGCTAAAACTTTAAAAGTACTAAAATAATCCCTAAACTTTAATTTTTGGAACCAAAATAATCCCTAAACTTTTATTTAGTACCAATTTAGTCCTTAAACTTTGAAGACAAGTACCAACTTAGACATTAAAACTTTGATTATAAGTACCAATTTAATCATTCAACTTTAGAAATACAATTAGAAAAATATATCATGATAGTAAAATATGATTGTTTGATTTTATGTTATTAATATTT